TGCTTCCTTCAATCCCGCGACTGAATTTCATCCCCATGTCTAATTCACCAAATAGTTGCACGGTCACTTTGCCTTTTTCTGGATCGTCGTGCGGTCCAGGAGGCCCGAGCTGCACGACCTTGCTCAGGTTGTGGCGTTGTGCGACCACACATCGCCCTCTTCGCCCAGGCGACAACATCGACCGGCGAGTCGTTCTGGTCTTGCAGAGCAACCGGGTAATGGGCTCTCTACGGTGAAACAGACTCAGGTGACTGCTACTTATCATTAGGCCCAGTTTAATACCAGAGGCCCAAAAATGTCACCAGAGCAGCGGCCCAACAAAGGTGAGCGCTCGTTGGTAGCGATCGAAGGGAGCGAATGTGGGACTGTCGGACAATCGGACGGCCAAAAAAACGCCTCGAGTTATGATCGGACAACTACGAATGCTAATGGCCTGAGAGGGCTGGGAAAGTGCTCGGTTGTAATGTTTCTAAATTAGGAAAATGCATAGGTTTTTGGACTCATGGTTCTCTTTATTATCATGTTTTGTATCTACCTTATCTCTTTTACTATGTTTTTAGCTAGAATAGGAACATCTTGCACAATATCAGGTTCTATTTTACTTATTTTTACTTATCAGATTCAATAGCATCATTATTACCATCAAGTTGAATTGGTTCTTGTTCCTCCCCACCTTTAGTATTGGCATTAGAAATATAAACATAATTAGGATTCTCTTGGCATTCATTCTCAACAATTTCAGGGTCTCTGGAACTATCACTAACAGGTGTAACATGTTTAGGCCCTGTTTGGTTCGGCTATGGATTTCTAAAAGCAGCTATGAAAAAATTGCTATGAAAAAACAACTGTGAAAAATCTGATGTGAAAAAGATGTAGGTCATTTGGCAAATCAGCTGATACATCATTTTCAGATTTTGGCCCACAACGAAATCAGATTTTGGAAAAGCACATCCTGAGCTGCTTCCGTTTTTGGTTCAGATTTTGGCAGTGGATTTCTGGAATCGGATTCTGCTGGGTTCGCCCTTTGGTTCAGATCTGCTGCGCGGCAGCGGAATCCGTCGATAAAAGCTGAACCAAACAGGGCCTTAGACTTCCTTTTCTCCTTCTTTCTAGAGGAACGAGCAACATGGTTATCAATATTTTGAGAATCTTGTTCTACTCTCGTAGAATGTCCTTCAGGATATTCTTGAGTAGAAACACCTCCTCTAGTAAAAACATAAGCATCACATTTCCTAAAAAAATTAACCATATGGCATATAAATCTTGTTGAGCACTCATCACTTGTTTAAGTTGAAATTGTATCATATCACAATGTTTAATAATACCTTCAACATCAGTAGAAGTTCTTTCAATATATTCTTGCGGGTATTTAATAGCTACACAATCATTATTAAATTGCATTTGCATATCCATATGAAAGTGATGTTGTTTAATAACAAGAAAATTGTCAATTTCATGTACCTCAATGCATATATTTATCTTGATGGATTTCATCAATTCATCACATACGCCTCATGCATTGCCTATGGAACTTCCCTTCAAATACATCTTAACTAAAACATTAGTCTGTAACAATTGTCATTAATTACCAAAATCACACATGGGGACTACATGCACTTTCAGCGGCACTCACGTTCACGAATGTGAATGCATTGCCCAGGGTTATATATGGTGAATTAGTGATTGCTAACTGAACTCTATGCAACAACCAGACATCTAGGCGATAGGGACATAATAACATGAAAGAACTTGTTAGAGAGGAGTAAGTCGGAGAGGGGGGGGGGAGTAGGAAAATATTAGTAAATACCTGCCTCGTGCTACCGTCCACCTCGCCGTCGGCTCCTTGGCGCTATAGATCAATCGCTTGTCATCGACGATCTTGACGTGGAGACCGGTGGAGCCTTGCTGCTGCTCATTTGGCCCAGGAGGGCGTGGTGTCATGGAGACTGTTGTCGGTCACCCTGTGGAGACTAATGCTCATCTGGCACCATGAAGGCTGACGCAAATGGTAGGGGGTTGTTGTGACTGAATTTGGCCGGCCTTGGACAAATCCATCCACCCCACGCTCTAGAGAAGAGGAGACGGATGGGGAGAGCGCAGACCACGTGATAATCGTCCCCGGAGGCCAAGTGGTGCGCCCCGGTGGTCATTGACCTTGGAACTATCGTCGATCTGATGACGAGAGGAGGCAGGATCGCACGCATCATTGCCGTCAGCCTCCGCTAGGGCTTGAGCACGTTAGCATGAAGAGCATACTGACCTCGAGGTAGCCATGCTGGCGACGCTCTCTAGGATCAAGGCGACCTTGATCCTTGGTTGGTAGGAGCCATTGCGAGCTTGTGCAACCTGTGGGGTAGGAATAAGGTATGGGGGTCGGATCTGGGGCACAGGATGTGAAGTAGGATCTAGGGGAGGAGAGAGACGTGGGAGGGGTGGCTCTCGTCTGTGAGAAGCAGGGGCAATGAGCCACAAGGAGAATGGCAACTCGATTTGGAGGAGCCGTGGTGGAAAAGGAGCAAGGGCACTTGCTGGTGGTGGTGCAAGGGAAAGATGTCCTAATTTGGATTTGGAGAGGAATGAGAGAGAGAGATGATGGACAAGGTGACGTAGGGATATGGATGCCCCGGGAAGAAGCCGATGAGATGACACTCTCTCCCTTGTTGTCTAGCTGATAGGCTACTGCCCCGTTGTACTCCGACGCACTATGCAAAACGGGATCGATGGGATGATTTTCCCTTTTCATCAAGTTCATCTCAATGCATGTGGGCAATAGCTGAGATAGAGTTGGTTTAGGCGCGAACTAGAGCTTGTGTGTTATAACGGGGGAAACAAATACCACATGCCCCTAACCCAATAACCATGACTCAAGACCCAAGTAGGTCCACGTGCATCCCATTTGTGTTGCCGCTTATCCTCCTTTCAACCCTTGCCGACGGTAGCCTCAATGCTCACACAATCGCAACGCGTTTGAATGTGCTCAATCCTAAGGTGTTTTTCTCTCTCGACATAAGATGCGAAATTTGCTTGCTTCCCCTCCTGTGAGGTTTTGCCGAGGCGGGCATGGTTATTGACGGTTTCTTTCGTCTCCATTCTTGTCTTGCTGAGGTGTTCATTTCCAATCTAGATAGACACCATGCGAAAGAAAGACGGATCATGCGCTATTGATAAAGATTGCACCCTAGATAGCATTTAAAAAATGATTAACATGTAAAACAACATCATATTAAATTCTACACATTTTTCTAATCAAATTCCATATGTAACATATCAAAGTTGGACTCGGGGTTTAAAAGATATGAGAAACACACCTTCCTTTATTATTAGCTATAGATATAGATTAGATATGTCGAACGTGGTCATTCCTCCAAATTGGCAAGATGATGCAGGGCATCTCGTGCTTTCTTCTCCCTCTACTCGCACCCACCCCCAAACCAGCACGACTACCCACTCGTCTCTCCCCCTCTCAATCTGTGATGCAGCTAGATACTTTTTTAAAAGCTTTTGAATCTGCGTAAAAAAATATAATGTTATTTTCTAGATTGCGGGTTAAATTTACCAAAATATCAGGGTTTTTTCTGTAATAACTAAAACTTTTTTGCGGACTCATTTAAAACAGGACAACGGATTGATTAAACGGAATATTAGGGGGTTTCCACAAAAACAAAGTGTTTTCTTGCCCATTTGTCACGCTTTTTTGCATAAAACCCCTTGTTGTTTATGGAAATCAACTTGTAGCTCTCTCTTAAGTGAGTCCAGAAAAATGTTTCATTTTTTGTAGAGAATCCCATAATATATCGGTTAATCAACCTGTTTTTAAGCGAATCAAGGAAAACGTTTCACTTTTTGCAGAGTACCCCTTGATGTCTTGGTTAATCAACCCGCAATCCATTTAAAAATAATGTTACATATATTATTTGGGCACATTCAAATGGTTTTTAAAAATACTCATATTTTTAAAATCCTATCTTTTTGACATGTTATTTACGGAATTTGATTAGAAAAAGGTGTACAATCTGAATATGATGTTGTTTTACCTGTTAACCATTTCTAGAATGCTATTTTGGGTGCATTTAGAAAATATTCATATCTTTTAAACCCTAAATTCAATTTTGATATGTAATGCATGAAATCTGATTAAAAAATGTGTACAATTTGAATCTGATGTTGTTTACTCGTTAACCATTTTTAGAATGCTATTTAAGATGCAACCTTTATCAGTAGCGTACGATCCGTCTTTTTCTTGTACCGGTGTCGATTCGGATTGGAAATGAACACTTCAGCAAAATCAAATTGGTGACGAAAGAAACTGTCTATACCATGCATGTACGCATGGGCAAAGCATGATAGGAAAACAAATTTCTCATCTTATGCAGAGAGAGAGGAAAACACCTTATAATTGATACATACGAACGCGTTGTGATTATGTGAGCATTGAGTCCACCGTTAGCGAGGTGGGAAGCAAGATAAACAACAACACACATAGGATGCACGTGGAGTCGTGGACCTATTTGGGTCCTGAGTCATGGTTATGGGCGTGTTATATCCATATGAAAACTATAAAAAAATGCCTACACATTACTATGCAAGAAATCACCATTTTACCTTTTTTTAAGTTCTATTTCACGTTTCTTTTTTTAGCACTTCATTTCTCCTTTCTTATTCTTTCCAAAGCGATCACATGTAAACGAGAGGGGGAGGAAAGTAAATTAGAAAAATGACGGAATATAAATAGTCCAAAGCCCTTCTCCCTCGTGGCTCTCTATCCCCTGCGCCTCCATTGCCTCCCCCCGGTTCCTTCCTCCTCCCCTCCCAAACGGCTGCGCGCTACCCCAGTCGCCTGCTAAAACCTTCTCCACTGTCCGCGCGCGAGCGCTCATAAACACCAAACCGGCCCAGCCCAAGAGCACGCGCGCCAGCCGGGCTTGGGGTGCAGAAGGATTCGGGAGGAGGAGGAGGCGGCGGCGGCGGCGGCGGCGGATTGACCAGAGATTCCCGGCGAGATGAAGTACGTGCTGGTCACCGGTGGTGTTGTGAGCGGCCTCGGCAAGGGCGTCACGGCCAGCAGCATCGGCGTCGTCCTCAAGGCGTGCGGTCTCCGCATTACGTCCATCAAGATCGGTACGTGCCCGCCGCCGGCCGTGCGATGTTTTCCTTCCTCGTGTTCAAGA